GGGGGTGGCACGGGGGCCCCGTCCCCACACAGCAGTGCCACACACGCTGCATAGAACCCGCTGGGGTCCACCTTGGGTGGGGGGGAGCAGCAGTGAGAATCTTCCAAGACTCCCCAGAAGAAACCAGAACATCCCTCCGGATGAACCCCCTGGAATTTCCCAGACCTTCCAGGACTCCCGGGATCCCCAGGATACCCCAGGACGCCCTGGGATCTTGCAGAACCCCCCAGGAAGTTCCAAGACCCCCCAGGACTCTCTGGAATCCCCTGGGAGCCTCCCGATCTCCCCAGAGACCCCCGGGAGTCCCCAGCACATCCCGGGACAACTCTGGGATGCCCCAGAACCCCCAGGAGCCTCCCGGGACAGCCCCGGGACCACGCGGGTCCCCCGGGACATCCCGGAACCCTTCGGGACCCCCCAAAGACCCGCCGAGACCCCCTGGGACACCCCAAGCCCCCCGGGACCCCTGGTGCCACCGACCTCGCCGTGGCACTGCCGGAAGGGCTGGGCCAGCAGCTGCCCACACGTGGCCACCGCCGGTGCCAGCTCAGCCGGGCCACACCTGGTGCCAGCCTCCGGCACGTCCCTGCACGGGGGCTGAGGCGGGGGTCCCTCAGCGCGGGGGCGACCCCCGGGGACCCCCAGACGGGCACGAGGTGCCACCCCGGCCCCTCAGGTACCTCTGTGCCAGCCGCCGGCACCTTCCAGGCGTTGCCGAAGGCGGCGGCGACGGCGGCGATGTCCCCGTCGGGGAGCACGAAGTCGTCTGGGGGGACAGGCAGGGTGGGGGGCGTGGGGCGACCCCCGGCCCCCCAGGTGGGGCGGGGGCGGCGCCGCCCGCGCGGAACTCACCCGCAGGGTCGTCGGTGTAGGTGCCGCAGAGCCCCCAGGTGGCACCGCGCAGTTCGGGCTCCGCCGTCACCGTCACCGCCAGGTGCCCGTCCCAGGCCACCCGCACGCCCAGGCTGCTGGCCACGGCCACCCAGTCACCCGGCCAGGTGACCCCGAGCCCTGCGCCAGGGACGGGGCGGCTGCGGCGGCGGTTCCGCTGGCAGCGGCTGGTCACCGTGTCCCGGTGCCCCCCGACGGTTCTGGGGGCTCATCCCCAGCCTGGCCGGGCCGCTGGCCTTGGGCACCTCACCTTTGTGCAGGTAGGGGCGTCCCTCCGGCACCGCCGCGCCGTTCACCGACACGTTCCGTCCCTCGGCCACCACCGTGTCCGTCCCGAAGCTCATGTGCAGCTCCTGTGGCAGAGGGGAGGCACCGGGCGCTCAGGCGTGCCAGGGACCGCGGGGACAGGCACGGGGACGGGCACGGGACACTCGTGTGTGCCACGGTGCCGGGGACGGACCCGTGGCTGCGCCATCCCAGGCCCCGGACTCATCCCAGCCCCCCAACCCGTTCCAGCTGCCATCCCCGCTGCCAGTTCCCAGCCTGGCTCCCACTGCAGCTCCCAGCCCCACTCGTGCCCTGGGAACAGGCCCAGGGACCCCAGGGGACCCATCCTGTCCCCCTCCCCGGTGTCTGGGTGCCCGACGGTGACATCGCACCCATCCCCGCTCCCGCCATCCGTCCCCGCCCCGCTCCACGCCGGCAGCGATTTGGGCGCCCCTCCCCGTGCCCCGCTGCCCGTCTGCGGTACCCGGGGCCGTCCCAGGCCGACGGTGACGCCCCAGGTGCCGTCGGTGGCGGCGGCCAGGCGGTACCGGCAGCTCCCGGCGAAGCCGAAGTGCCGCCCGTCGAAGGTGCGGAAGCGCGTCCCGGCCCAGGCCTGGCACGCGGCCGGGGGGC